CTCCTACCCTTTTTTACACCTCCAAGTTTTTTAATGTAGGCCAGGAGCGGTGTCAGAGTCATTGTTCAACAGTAACACTGAGGCCAATGAGATTATTGCTGGACTTGTCCACAGGGATGGACTATTGATCTTTCTTTTATAGTTTGGTTGTGGTGCCTAGTTCACACAGCTCCTTCTGTATTCATCAAAACTCATATTTGCCTGTTTATTTAAAATAGTAATAAATGGAGAGAGAATCAGGCATGTGTCTGAGTATTTTGCTTAACTGTGAGAACTTTAAATACACCTAATTTACAGAGGAATTCTCTGTAGTGCAGAGCTTGTATAGCTATCAGCTCTTTATAATTTTTCATTTCGTGTCCTTGTATCCACATTTTCGTTTCTTCAAACTGTAAAATTCGCTGGGATTTGACAAAATTTCTTTAACAGGTTCTCACGGAATTCAAATACCTGTGGTAGTGAGTTTTTAAAAGACAATCAATGGCAAGATGATTTTTTTGAATTCTTTCCAGTAACAGGGCTTCTTTTTCCTACACACTGGAGCCAGACATAGAAATTTTGTGTTATCAGTTTATGGTTTCCAGAAAGATAAAGGGTTTGATCAGGATTTCTTAAATCTCCTTTCATCTAAATTACTATGAGACCGTTTTGGCTGGGGGTAGATGTGAAGAGTTAGAAAACAGAAAAAAGCGGATTAATTCCTATATGTTACATTTTTCTAGTATTCTGGCTAAATAGAATTTGATCAGTCTTTTTGATATTTTTGGCTAAAGAAACACTACTGTTTAGACACTTTAGGTAAGTGGCTGTGCTTTCACTTAAATGGTTGATTGAAATATTAATATACTGCTGATTTAAATTTTAAAGTTCAGACGAGCTGATCGTGTAGAAGCAATCCCAAGGCTTTCTTTTCCAGGAGAATGGAACTGGTCTGCTTTGAGGTGTTTGAGAGAACCAGCAGCTCCTATGCCATTGCTTACTGTGATTTACAGACTTGAACATTTTGCCTGTAAATGCAGAAATCTACATTTTCTGATCCAATAGTTTCTCATGCCCATTTTTAGGTTCCCTTAGGTGGAGTTGCTGCCATCTTTAGTTGTATAGTTCCTTCCATCTTCAGTCATTTATCTTTTCTTCTTCCAGTGGTTATTTGATTCTAATGGTTGTGTTAGTATTATGTCTTTATTTTTTAGAAATCTTGAGTTTTGTGTTAATTTTTAAAAGTCTTCTAGTTTATGGTTTCATTTTCCTTCTTCTTTTTAATCAGGAGAAACTTATCAGCTGAAATGCACACACTCATACCCTCTCTAAATTGCTTATTTTTCTGAAATAGTTCTTTTCTTTTTAGCACTTTGTGCCCTGCTATTTTAGGCAGTTTTATGTAAAGGTAGGATCTTGAACTACGTCAGCTGCATTGTTATAGCCTTTTATTTTAGCCCAGTCTCATCTAACCAGAACAACACATATCACTGATGTCTTAAGAATCTTAATGAAATACATCAGAAACAGAGTAAAAGGAGTATCAGCTTGCAACACCCTGACTTTCCTGCAGCCAGGTGGGGAAGTGTCTTTTAATAAAGCTGGGATAAAAACACAGTTTTATTTGGGTAATTAGTATTAGGTTCAGATTAGGCTATATAGTTCAGATTTTCAATAATGCCCAAACCTTACATTTTATCAGTTTCTGAACAACAAAACAGAACATCTCTTCCACCAGTATTTTAGGATTATACAATGTTAACTGTCACCTTTTTTTTTGTTTGTTTGTTTGATTTTTTGGTGTTTAAATTAGTGCTAAAACTGTGTGCTGAAGTTACTTTTGAGGCCAGTACAAGATGCTAATCTAATACTGTGGAAGGAGAAAGCAATGGCCAAGTTTGGGTTGAGGCTCATTTTAGTCTAAAAGCAAAGAATATTAAAGTAAATTTAATGTGAAGAAGATGATCTGATTACCTGTCAACTTTGTGTGGGTGTGTTAATCACCTTGACAACCAAGCATCACCATGAAATACTATATGTGGGCATTTGGTTACACAGAATTATAATAATTTGCATGTGCAAAATGGTTACATAAAATTACTATTAATTGCAGATGTTATATAGGAATATAATGAAAGTGTAATTTTATAAATGCATCTCTTAGAGATTATTAGTGTAGATTTGGTGGTTGCAAAGATGATGACACAAGTACTTTTTCATGGATATAAGTATCATGAGTTCCAATCAATAAAATTCAGGTAAAAATTCTGATACTTTGTTTGTTTGTTTTGTTTGTGGGTTTTTTGTGTGTGTGTTTTTTTTTCTTTCTATTTTTTTTACATTTTTGTTAGGCTCCCTGGACTTTTTAGTAAAAGAAATTGAAAAAGAGAAAACAGCATCATTCCAAAAATGATGTAATGGATAAAAATCTGGTTTCCTTAGGCTATGAGGATTTCATGAAATCTTCAGAATATCTCTTGCTTAGCTGTTCAGGCAAATTTGAAACCCTCTGGATGACCTTAGATAGTAAAACGATCAGTGTAAGGTATCGTGCACATTAAGGGTATCCTTAAATTAGTACCCCAGAAGTAGATCCCTGAATCAGGTACCCCAAAAGAAAAAGCACAAACATAGAACAACATAAATTCAAGGACTGAGCCTTGTGGGAGCCTCCAAACGTTTGAATCTGATTGGAAGAAAACCCACACAAAATAATAAAATGGGAGTAAGTTTCTGATCTTCTCCAGAATCCTAAAGTCTGCTTCATTTTACCATCAGGGATAGAGAAGAAAAGCTTTTAAGTCAGCCAGCATCAGATTGATTCATAAAGCAAACAGGAAAAGTATTATGAGGGAAGGCTTCATGCTCTGATAGACATCTCGGAATACGCATCTTTGGCAGTCTATTCATCTTTGGCTAAGGGGGTGGAAACTCTGGTTTGTCTCCCTGGGTAGTGTGTGGAATCCTGTTTATATTCCAGCTCAGTTTATGTGGCCTTGGGGAGCAAAGTCTGGTCTTAGAATTAGCTGTAATTTTTGCTGATCAGATAGTGGTATGACTGGCCAACTATTTTTCCATGACTTTCGTAGAACTGTATGAAAAATCCATGGCATACTCTTCTTTTTTAAAACATTGGTGTAGTGAAGGTACTTGTTTCATCTAAGACAAACAGCTGGTGGTGATTGAAAGATTCCTTGCATAGGTGATGTGTGAAGGTTTCTTTCTTTTTAGAATGTAGAGAGTTAGTTGTATTAAAAAAATAAAAACAAGGAAAAAGGGCCAATCAGAGATACTTTTTCATAAATGCCAAAGCATTTTGAAAGTGCATAAAAGCAAAATTAGAAGTTCACTGTTGTTATCTGTTAGAGGTAGTTTAAATATACATATATATGCCTGCAATATATTTAACCTTATAAAAAAGCATGCAGACTTACTTAGCTTTAGGTATAGTAACTTGTCTCTTTCAGTTATTTTAATATATAAGGCCACACATTTTTTGAATCTATTTTATAAAGATGTTTATTAGCAGTAGATTTTAGTTTAATAACATCCAGTAAATCACTCCTACTACTTAGTCTTTAAGAGCAATTGTGTCTCAGTCATGGATAAGCAATATGTTTGTTGCTAAGCAGAACAAGAAACTGATTGATAGTTTGTGATACAAAAAATTGTGACTTTTAAACTTGTGGGTTATAGGGTAGGCAGGATCTAGAAATATGCTCGGGTAGGCTGAGGGAGGACAGGGTAATATATGTGCACAATCCATAGTTGATTATATTTTTGGTAGTCTATCAATTGATTGTCAGATTGTATGTGGTTTGCTTCATTAAAAAAAAGGTGGTTTGAGAGATGGGAATAAAGATAATTAGGACTCACAGTGTTATGTTTTTTTATGATTTCCACCCTGCTGCCTCACCCCTCCCCTTCACCTGAATTTGTGAGGATGAGCTGGGAGAGGCATAATTTGGAACACAGTAGCTCAGGTTCTGAACCCAAGCTAATGCCTTTGTGGTGAATGACCTTGGCTTCTTGGCCTCAGGCATAAATATATTTTTCACAGTTATAAGGTTAGTTCAAGGGTGTGTGTTGAGCACCGGGGTAGGAAAAAGTGAGAGATAAAGACATTGAGGATGGCAGTCCTGACTTTGGAGCAGAAGGACTCCAAAAGAATAGAAAGTGGACTATATCTGTCCTGTTTTAGTTTTTTTAATAATAAACTTTTCAGATGGTTTATGGGTGGGGAATAAGCATCCCCAGATTCTCAAATGGCAATGTTTTGTTACACCTTTACATTTTTCTGTGTAGTTATGTGACTTTTTAATTGAGATATATTATACCAAGATACAACTCTGGTGTTTTATGAGATGAGTGCTGCTGTCTTCATACTCTTCAGGTTTTTTTAAATTATTATTATTTTTATAAAGACGGGTAAATATTAGTTCTGTTAACTGTCTATCTTAACTACTGCAATCCATTTGTCTTTTGCCTGTGCATTAAGATGCATAAAAACCAGCATGAAAATGTGAAAACTGAAATGTAATTGCTACTGTAGAGGGTGCTGCGTCAACCCACTATATAATTATTATCCTTAAAATGTCAAATTTGAATATAATGTCTTTAGATTGCTTATTTCAGGTATCAGAGGAAAAACTAAGAAGAAAATGCAGCAGAAGATTTAACACTTAACAGTGTTTGAATTAGTAATGCAACTGGATTAAGTTTTGGTGTTTAAGCAGCGACAGCAGCCTTGTACTGGGACTAAGAAAGGACTCGCTGGCTCATCAGGGGCGTTAATTATTGATGGGGGTCCAGGAACAGCGCATGTGCTGTCAGAGTTCACTGTAACATCAGACAGGGACTGCAGTGATGCCAGAGGGATTATAGCCAGGGAAGTACCTGTAGCGTTAGGAGCTGCGTACTTCTAACCATCAGACTTTGATTTTGTTGAAATGAATTCATATGAGGATTAAAATAATGGAAAGATGAGTCGTCAAGCTTATTTCTATCGTGTCCCCCCACAGGAATTGCACAGAAGAACCCAACTCCAGCCTGAGCCAGCAAAGACGAAGGCTCTTCAAACAGTTATCGAAATGAAGGTATGGTCTTTGCATGTTTGCCCATGTGTTATTTCTGCAGCATGAAGTCATGTACTGGGGATGGCTGGGATAGAGTTCATTTTCCTCATAACAGCCTGTATGGTGCTGTTTTGAATTTCAGACGGGAACAGTGTTGATAACACTGATGTTTTAGCTGTTGCTCATCTGTGCTTGCACAGAGTCAAAGCTTTCTCAGTTTCTCACTCTGCTCCTGCCCCAGCAAGTAGGTTGGGGGTGGACAAGCTGGAAACAGCTGACCTAAATTGACCAAAGGGGCATTCCATGCCATCGGATGTCATGCCCAGCCATGAAACTGAGGGGAGGACATTCAGAGTTATGGCATTTGTCTTCCCAAATGACTGCTGTGTGTGATGAAGCCCAGCTTTCCTGGAAATAGCCGGGCATCTGCCTGCCAGTGGGAAGTAGTGAATGAATTCCATGTTTTGCTTTGCTGGCCTGCACAACTTTGCTTTACCTATTAAACTGGCTTTATCTCAACCAATGAGTTTTCTCACTTTTGCCCTTTTCTCCCTCCCCTCTCCCACTGAGGGAGATTGAATGAGCGGCTGTGTGACACTTAGCTGCCTGCCAGGGTTGATTTATGACTTTTACTATTAGATCATTAAATGCTTCCTTTACCTTATCAATTTATTTTGTTGTGAAGCTAGAAAAAATTAGTATTTATTTTTCCCAGTCTTTTTTCTTATTAAAATGGATTAAAAAAATAAAATCAAGTGTAGCATTGCTGAATAATGAGAACTGACTATAGCTTTTCAAAAAGACTTGGGGGTGTGTCTGTGTGTTTCAGGAGATCCAAAGTAGATGGAATAAACTGAAATATAAGTCTAAGGCAAATTGTCCAAGGCTAATGTAAAGTGTTTTTCTTCTTGATCTTTAAAACAATGCTTCTATTGCTGGTTATTAAGCCATAATTTTACAGCTAATCTAAGGAAAACATTCATTGCATCAGCAGATATGACAAAATGTGATGAAAGAGCTATCTTAGTCCTGAATATAGTTTCCTCTTTTTGATGTATAATATTACTAAAGTGTTATAGTTTTTTCCCCACAAGAACAAAATATACAAATTATATTTTAAAAAGTGAAAACTGATATTTTTGCATAATTCTATGAGTCTGGAATGTAACAAAAATACCATGAGACTTGAGATAATTTGTGAGTTGGCAGTGCTGCCTGAAATATGTTAATGATGGTCTTTCCTTTCAGTCTTAAAAGGAAGTGCAAATTAAGGGCCTCATTTTGCCAGTGACTTCTGTTATGAGCAAATGAGTTCGGCATGTCTGAACATTGTGGTAAACATACAGTTAAAACAACAGTAGGACTTTATAAATACAGTATCTGTCTTTTAACAGATAAAAATTAGTTTGGATTATATGAGTAACAAAGAAGGTACATTGATATCAGTATTTCATCTTCTGATGAAATTTGCCTTGGACATTATTCTAGTTTAGAAGTCTTTGTATGGTATCTAAAATGCGTGGTTTTGCATCAACTTGTTACCCTGAGTAAATGGGTAAGTAGGATACCGACTGAGAAACTTGTTTCTTTCTATTAATATTCGGTTAATATATTAATTATTATTAATAATTATAAATGTAAAAGTTTTGGGATACAAAAATAACGTCTTAGAATAATTTATAATCTTTCATGTGGGTTATTAACAGTGTAATCTTCCTGTACCAAAACTCTCTGAAAAGAACAGGGGTGGAGGGTACACGCCACACGAATGGCACATGTGACCACTGCAGTTGCAACCACTCCTGACAGTGTCTGTCCCTGAAGACAGTAAAGTGTTCTCTGTTTTCTGTCTGTCTCCCAGGAGAAGTGGGTGTGGTGTGGTGTTGTGTTGCTCTGCTTTTTAAAAATCTGATCTTTGTAGTGAGGGCTTTCATTTCTCATGAGTGAGACTGCAGTCATGTTGCTGGAGCACTGGTGCAGAGCTGCTTTTTGGCTACGAGGCACACAGTTCTTTCTTTTCCTATGAACACTCTCTCCTTTGGGGTTGCCCTGTCTAAAATAGGCCTAATATTGAAAAGAAAAAGGGCCAAATGTAAGATGTTGAAAGCCACATGATTAAACAGCAGTTTTCATTACAAGTTCCAGATTTGGAATGTTTTCAAGTAAATTTAAATTGTCTTAATCCAGACAGCATTTGTTTCGAAAAAAAATGTGGAACATTTGTTTTGAATGATCAAGCATTGAAACAGTCATTTCCCTACAGTGTTGAGGGTAGAAGGAGGGAGAGGATTAGCCTGTAATATGGCAATCTGAGGCATACACTCCCCGATGCAGAGGCTCCAAGCAGGATATATTTCTCTTCACTGCACCCAACCCCTTCCACCCCCTTGCCCATTAGCTTTTGTCTGAGTCCCCTCCATGGCTTTCCCAGGCTCTGTCAGGGTGCAACTTCCCCTCCTTCATAAATCCTTCTGTCCTTTCCTGTGGTTTTCTTCTGGCCCTTGCCACTGCTGAATGCTTTCTGTCCCTTTCCCAGTCTGTACACCCTTTCATCCAATGAAATTATACCCGTTTCTCCTACCTCTAATTTCTTGTGTGTTTTTTTTATTTGTCCTGAACATCTTTTTTTTTTTTTTCTGCACTACCTTTCCTGTCCTGTAATGCTCTTCATTTATCTCTGAAGCTTTGCAAGTAGTTGTCTTTTCTTAGAGCAATTGCATTTTCTGCTTAACCGTTGTCTCCTTGGCCAGTGTCTGTCTTCAGTCTTCTCACGTAAAAAAACCCAAAGGGCAAACAAAAGAAGGTGGAAAATTTAAATCCTATGGCTTGACTCCTGTTTTTCTTGTTTTATTTATAGCTTTCCAGATATTTCTTGTCTTTTCAGAGGTATTGCACTGGCCTTTCTTTCCCAGCTTTCTGATTTTGTTTCTTAGACGTGTTCACTTCCAGATGTCCCATGTCTTTTTCTCTGTTGTTTCCCCTTACATTCTTTACTCTGTTCTCTTGTCTGCAACAGATCTTCTCCAGAAACCCTTCCTTCTTCTGAAAAGCAATGTCCCAAAACCAAAGGAGGGGCAGGATGCTTCCCTTTCCCACATGCTCCTGTTCCCTCAAACTGGTCTAGTTTTGTTGCAGTGGTTACTTCTGACTTTGTGACTGAAGATACACGTTTTAAACTGAAATAGGATAGATCTAAATTGGACATAAGGAAAAAAGAATTTTATGATGAGTGTGGTGAGATCCTGGCACAGGTTGCCCAGAGAAGCTGTGGCTGCCCCGTCCCTGGAAGTGTTCAAGACCAGGTTGGATGGGGCTTTGAGAAACCTGGTCTAGTGGAAGGTGTCCCTTCCCATGGCAGGAGGGTTAGACTAGGTCATCTTTAAAGGCTGCTTCCAACCCAAACCATTATATATTGCTATGATCTCATTCAGATGGTTCTGGGCTTAGAACAGTGATAGTACTTGAGAGAGAAAATTAGAAATTAATTGCCTACAGGTATGTCATAAAGCTCATCTTAAATGTAGAATATCGACCATCCCAAAATATATGGAATCTAGCAATTAGAATGATAAACTCTTTAAAAATGGTAAGCTGTAGAGTAAATGAAAATATTTGTGGTTTACCTCACTTGCAGAAAGAGCCATCTTTGTGTATTGATCCAGCTGTGATATTTCAGGTATGGGTTGTTATTTGTGTTTGCAGTGCAACATACTCTTATTGTTAAGATTGCATGAGCTTTCACTTCCCTTATCTTCAAAGATAAACCTGAATAATCTCTGCATTAAATTGACAAAGTTAAAAAATGCATAGAGTAAGAGTAGTCGTGTATGGTCTGTTGACAGCAAGTGTACATAAGTGCATTTACATTTAAGTTTTATTAAATGTGAGGTTTCAAATATTTCTTTCTGATTGCTTGTAAAATGTTCTACAAGAAAATTTTTTCACAGACATATTAAATTTATCAGATGTCTCAAATGATGAACAGTAGCATTTGTTACTTTTCCTTTCAGAGTAAGACAGCCTGGAACGCTGCGTTATATAGAGTTGGACTCAATGATCCTTGTGGGTCCCTCCCAAATCAGAATATTCTGGGATTATGTACAAATATTTCACCCTTTTCCCACCTCTCAGTGTTCAGGAAATGTACTATAGGAAATTCATTTGTAGATTTAGTCACTTTTCTTTTGTGAAATATTTTCTTCAATATCAGGACACATACCAGTTGTTTCACATTTGGATTTCTGCTAGGTCCAGCATAGAAGTAGCCCTAACCTTTCTCACAGAGTACCTGCAACACTGTTCTAATAAAGGACATGAGGAAGAAGTGTGGATTACTGCTGGAAGGAGGGGACAGATTAGGGCGAGTATCCTGATCTCTATCATAAATCCTGCTAATATAATCTTACGTCTTTTAACAGATTTAGAGGGCCTGAGTGGAAAAATCTGCACAAATGTTGCATTGTTGTGGAACTCAGAAGATGTTTATTAGTACCATTTAGTACTAAGCTGCTTCCTTAATATTATTGCAAAGGAATCTTTGTGATTCAACACAGACCCATGTAGTTTTTTTCAGAATGTTGCTAATGTGAATAAATCTTGGAGGTCTGAAGGAAATACTCCATCTGTTCCTATTTCACTTTCTGAAAGCTTGCCAGACCCTGTGCCACAACAAGAGCTGGTTGAAAGTTTTCCAGTTGAAGTTTTCTGTGGGAAAATGCTGATTCAGCTGAATCAGAGGATTTTATGGGAATGTGCTTGTTCTGTCAAAACTTTTAGCGAACTCAAAGCCTTAACTTTCTATCCATCCTTGCAAGTGAGCCCAACTCCCTTGTGGCAGTACCCATTGGAGCTCTAGGCTCTCTGTTAGCTTTGACCTGCAAGGTTCCTCACTTTCTAGCAGTTGTCCAGACAGGAAAACTGTCAGGTTTCCTGGGCAAGCCAGCATGCATAAGGGAACAGTAGATTCTTGAGCAGTCTGGGATTGAAGGTGATGTCTGTCTTCTCTTCTGTCTTGTCAACACTAATGTCATTGATAGATTATTCTGAAACAGATTTTATCGTCTTCAAAATTTGTGAAATTTCTGGCTTCTGTTTCAATAAAAGGTTAATACAAAACGGACAGTGACAATTTTTCCCTGTAAAAACTATTAAAAACTAGTTTTTACACGTGCAATCATAATATATAGAGAGCGATTAAAAGTAAACTTCTTGGAGATTTCAAACTTGTGATGAAGTAGAAGTACAGAAAATGCTTACACAAGTTATGTTAGATATTTCTCATAAAGCTTAAATGTTATTCCGTGATGTATAAACCTTCTAAAGAGTGCAACGGGCTGTGCTATAAATTGTTTCTGCCACATTATATTTGCAAACACATAAAATACACATGCAGGACAAAAAGGCAGACTCTTATAGACTTAGCTGGGGAGATTTGATAAAGGCTACTCCCAGATGTCATGTCATAACAGGTCATATAAGTATTAATATCTTTCATTGCAAAACCACTCTAAAGTGCAGTGAAGCTTGGGTTTTGCTTTTATCTTCAAAAATAGGAGTAAAATATTTCTAAAATGAAGTCTGATGGACCAAGCAGAATTGACTGTAGTATCTGTGAGAACTACAATTGCTTTGTGTTGTGCATAAGTCTTGATAGCTTTTAAAATTCTTATTTTATCTTTTCTTATAGTATTTTTCTTTTTGTGCAATTTCTCTGAATAATAAGGTTTAATAGAATTCTTTCCTTTTCTTTTTCCCTTCCATCTCAATAATTTTTTAATTCCTTATTGTAAAATTAAATTTAAAAATATGTAGATTTTTTAAACAACAGTTTAATATAAAGTGTTTGTTTTCTGTCATGTGAAGGGGCTGATCCCTTAAAAACATTATTTGGTTTTCATGATCATTCATACAGCCTTTGTGATATGAGTAATGCTGATTCTATGGACAAACAATAACAGTTTTAGGATTCTGCTATTAGAAATCTGTGATGTTAGTAATGTTAGTCTCAGATACTAAGTAAATTAAGTTACATTTTACCTGCAACTTGAAAAGTTGATATTTAAAAAAACCAAGTCCATAATTATAGTAGATATAGGTATATAGTCTAAAAGCTGGTTGGATGCCCTCCAGAATGGGAAGGGGTGTGGAGGTATACTGTGGTGGTGGGGTGTGTGATTTTCTTTCTGTTTTGTTGCTTTGTTTGTTTTATTTTGTGTTTTGTTTTGTTTGGTTGGTTTTTTAAATGTGCATCCCTAGTCGCTCCTTTGCGTTTTTTAATTGGTTTTTGGTGGAATACTCTGTTTCTTTGAACATACCCATCAAGAAAGAAAAATATGGAAATACGGCTGATTAAGATTATCATCGGTATTTTCAATATCAGATATCTTCCAGATAGAAAAGCAACTAGTGAGGTAAAAGACAAAACCCAACAAGTTTCACGTTCCAAGAATTTTTTTTGTCTGTTTCCTTTGCATTTTGGCACTTTTTTATCATTTGTCTGGACCTTCCTTTCTGAAAGGGGATGCAGTTAATCTGGAAATTTGTAAGAGGCATGAAACAGCTTCGTATTCTGTATTGCCCTCCAAGTGCATTACTTTGCCTGGATGGTAAGTTTTCTCTCATGGAATGTAGCTCTCCTCAACTTCTGCTTCAAATTCCTTTGTCTCAAGATTCCTCACTGAAATGTTTGACATCTTTTTGCATCACTGAGCTCTTGTCTGGATTAAATGATGCTCTTCACACAGAAACCACAGAGTATTTGCATAGTAGTACAACCCATAAGCATCTCTGCAAGTGAAAACTGGTACATCAGCGTGGTGCACTATATCTGGTGCAAGTATATGAGGAAACAACCTTTCTTCCTCTTGAGAACAGTCAGAGCTCCAGAGAAACAGGGAAACTGAGCCTCAGGCTGGGTCACAATGAGTGACCTGTTTTCCTGCAGGGATTGTGTACAGGCCTCTCTAGGCTAAACTTTGTGTTTAAGAGCTTGGAAGAACAGCCAGGCCTAGATGGTCAGCAGTGATAACAGGGTATGTTATCACATATATGTGGAAAAATAGGGCATCTCCCATTCTCCTTTCACCCTGTGTAGGAATGAAGGTGGAATTTTGACCACAATCCTCTGCAGATTGTGCAACAGAACATAGCATTGCACCTTTCCTGGTTGTGAAGGAGATCTGAATTCTGCATTTTTTTAAGCTGAAATAAATAGAAATACTCTTGGTTTATGGCAGTATCTGCATTCTCTGTTTGTACCATCTATTTCTGCCGTTTTACTATTTGATATTCATGCAAGCACAGATATACTTCCGTTATCCTTTAATATATGTTTCATATAATTTTCAATGCTCTCTTTTTTGTAACTTAGGATACAAAAATAGCTTCACTTGAGCGCAATATAAGAGACCTTGAAGATGAAATACAGATGTTAAAGACAAACGGAGTTCTGAATACAGAGGACCGAGAAGAAGAAATCAAACAAATAGAAGTTTACAAGAGTCACTCAAAGTTCATGAAAAATAAGGTAAGATCTATTTATGTGAGAGATTAAGAGTGTTTAAATAATGGAAAGAAAAGTTTTAACTTGACTGTTTTCAACACAAGCAGCTCTCTGTATGTCTTCTTTTGGTAAATCTCAACTATGCCATAATCAGGAGTGAAGTGTTTTTGGATAAATAAAAATGCGTTTATATTTTGACTTAAGAATAGGTAAGGAAGAGCTTTTTTTGGGGGGGGGGGTTTGACAGTAGTTTTGCAGTAAGGATAACAGAGGAAAAAGGATGATGGTTTTCTGGAAATGCTAGTATCTGAGGAATTGAAATTGTGGGAGGTGACAGAGTTGTAAATTGAGAAGGAAGAGAAAGGAACTAGAGTTTCAGGAAAGGAGGTGGAGCAAGATTGTGTTGGGCAATGTTGAAAAAGTGGTGACGAGCAAACTACACATATGAAATATGTGGGATAGTGGGAAGGTTGGATCAGAGGTCAGACTTGGAGTTTTTCGATGCTATGGCACTTATACCCAGAGTTGCAGGTTCTCTTCCTTGTAGTCTTTAAAAAGTACAAAAACATTTTTACCTTTGACTTTTGTTACACTGAGATCAGGAGGTCTCATTGAATCGTGACTGTTGGTCTTCCACATCACTTTAGATATAGCAAAGTGAAAACGTTGGCATATCTGCTAGAGACAACAATCTATTTCATGTCCTCTTTACTTCCCCCCCCAATAGATAATGCAAAACTTTAAAAAAGTGTATATACCCAGGTCTAAAAATTTCTTTAGAAGTTATGTAGTTTCTTGTCATCCCTTTGTGTTTTTGAGACTTAATCTTTTTAAATTGGAATGTTACTGCCCTTTGATAATTATATTTATTTTGATAAACACCAACCAAAAGCGTATTTATTCAACGCATTTGCGTATTGTGTGTGTTTGGTTTGTGGTTTTTTGAGGGGCTTTTTTTGAGTGTTCTAACACATTTTTAAAATCCTGACAATTTGTAGGTCTTGTAGCCAGAACTTTATACTAAACAGATTCTGTTTCTAAAACACAAAGAGCATACCTGCAATGAAAATGAAGCTTTTTTTCTTTTTTTTTATTATTATTTCTCAGGGTGTGGGTTGTGTCAAGGAATAAAGTGAGAAGAGTTTCTAGAAGAGATTAAGCATCTGTGATGTTCACATGCATCTCATGTAAAGCATGTGATGTAATTCAGATTGGCTGCAGATCTACTTCTTGTCTTTGTATCTTGTAGACAGATTTTCCCATTGTTCATTTTGTATACATTTTGTCTCAGTTGCCATCTTTGCTTCCAAGGGATGGAGGAAGGTGCTTTGCTTTCAGGAGTTTTCTCTAGCGGCTTATTAGCTGCAGTCTTTCCTCACATCTGTTTTTTCTATCCTCCTTTTCTTATTTTGATACTTTCAGACTCTGAAGATGATTTCTTTTAGTGCCAGGACAGATCTTGATTTTATACAGTAGCTCAGGGGTGACTATCCCAGCCCCTTAAGCAGCTAGACAAACGTGTTGGGATTTATAAAGAGAAATAAGGAATAAATACATTAAGATATGCATATGGACTGTAGTTGGAAGAAACATATTTTAAATTTAATTTTTAAGGATACACTAAAACAAAATAGAAATATTTTGATCAGCAGTAAATATTTCCAGTGCCATACAGTATTGAATTTGTAAATTATTTTAGTATGTGGATCTTTGGGATTTGGTTGAGTTGAATCAGCCTGTGGATACATATTCTTTTCTTTTCCTGGTGATTTTTGAATCACTCTCCATCTACCACTTAACATGCAACTGCTGGGAGAGAATGGAAAAGAGCTCTTCCAGCACATCTCTGGTTTTTGCAGAATTGAAGCTTGAATTTTAAAGAAAACTATCTAGGTCTTAAAGTCATCAAGAAAACTTTCCAAATATAAAGGAAGTGTGATTTCCCTGAGTTACGCATATGCAGTGAGGTGTTTTATTACAAATAATCCTCATGAGATGATGGATCTGCATTAATCTGGTGACCAATGTTATTTCACAAGAATTCACCGTCCTTTAGCATCACTCTGTATATTGTCCAGTGCTTTGTTCTGATTCCTGTTGTGAAGCCACCACAACTTTGTGTCATGTGGCTGCTCCTCCCGTTTATCACTGTGGAAAGGAAAAAATAATCACAGTTCCATGACATTTACTGATGAACCTTAAAGTCACTTAAATTCAGAAGCTGTGTCTTAGTGACTGTGTTTCTACTGTTTCCTCTAGGATAAGCTTTTAAAATCTCTCAGCCCTTTCAATCTGTGGAATTTTTTATAATGTTTTCCCCAGACTTCTCTTAAGTTAATCACTTTGGCTTGGCTTTTCTAGTACCTGAGAATTCCATGTGAACTGCCAGAGAGAAAAATAGGAGGTGTGGGGATGGTGGGCAGCAACACATTTGCAAGAAGAGTAAGGTTAAAATTCCACTTTTCTGTTTTCCTCTCCTTACTAAGATGCCTGTTTTTCTTTATCAGGCTCCTAAAAAAATCTTGATTCATTCTGGCTAATGATAAGTCACAGGAATCATGCTGTTGGAAGGACTGAATTTATACTTTTATGAACACTTTTTTTCCTATACATTTTTGCTGTCCTGCCAGACTTGCCTCACCTGGGATAAATGCCTTTGAAGTTAAGTGAGGTCCATAGTGAATTTACAGGCCAAATCATCATGTATAATCTTTAAGAGTTTCCTTTTAGCTTCTGCAACAGCAGGGCAATCATTCTCAAAACAAGGTACATTAAATTACAAGAAGCACAGTTGAAGTTGTGAGTGTAAAAAGTCTGAATCTTAATCCTCCTCCAGAATTCACAGCTGTCTTATTTGTCATATCATGGTCATTTTTGTCATATCATGGTCATTCACACCTCTCCAATTTCAAGTGGAACTATGAATTGGAAATGGAATTAATGATTCAACCGTTTTTTTTCCCCACTGTAGATTGATCAACTGAAACAAGAACTCTCAAAGAAAGAATCAGAACTTCTTGCCTTACAAACTAAGCTTGAAACCCTTAGCAATCAGAATTCAGATTGCAAGCAACACATTGAAGTGCTTAAAGAGTCCCTTACTGCCAAAGAACAGAGAGCTGCCATACTTCAGACAGAGGTATCGTATCTTCTAATCATGAAAAGCAATAGCAATATTTAGTTCTTAGCACATGTCAATTGATGGTGTGTTTGAGTCAACTCTGTGTAGAAGGCAAGTTGTTTTAAGAATAATAAATAACTTTAAATGCTTTAAATACCAGTATATTTGATGTGTATATAATTTTGGCAGTACACCAGCTCTCATTCTAGAATTTTTTAGAAACATGTATGATTGCATTTTAAGAAAATGTTTGTATCTAATTTTTGTTGGCTTCAGTGAGGGGAGCTGGATCTTAATGACTTGATTGTTGTGATATCATGCCCTGTTTCTTCATCTATTAGTTGGCTGAGTTTTCTTTTTGGTTGCTCTGGTTGATGCATCTTTTCTACTGTGTATTTCTATTCTGAAGGGTGAAACTACAGATGCATTTTTAAGGGATCTTTTGAAGGGTGCATGTTATTAATCTATGATTATTGTTTGAAGTGCGATCAACATTTATTTTAAAATATGAATAATTTCAGTCTTTAAAAAAAAAGACCAGTGCATTAATTATGTATGTATCTAAAAAGTCAGATCATAAAAATATGAGCAATGGAACTCACAGTTGAGATGGTTGTCACATCTGAGTGAATGCATTAATCCAGTGTTTAAAATGTTTCCTGTGGTTTTAAAAAACTTCTTAGACTTGGAGCGCCTAACAGTGCTGATTAGATTGATTCCTGTTAGAACATTTAGATTTTAAATGTGTGTACCCCTTTCAAGAAACAAATTTAGCCATACAGTGCAAATAGTTTCTGTTCAGAGAAGTATATTATTTAAAGTATACAGGAATCTTATAGAATGTTTCAAATTTCTTACTAGCAAAGCTCTAGGAGAAGAAAAAGGGCTTAAACTCATCATTCTCATGGAAGCAGGAAATAAGTATTTCCAAGATTCTGATTATCCCTTTGTGCTGTATGTCTTGTCCTCTGTACATTTAGAAGATATAGATGAAATTTTGGAATTTCCAGCTTGTGTTTAATGGGTCAGCCAGCATGTGTGTCTAATACAAAATAATCATAATAGAAGCAGGATAAAAACTCCAGCAATTTTGGTGGTCTCAATCTAGCATTTGAGTAGTAAAGATTACATATTTTAAATCTCAGGCTGTGCAAATCTATTTTGTGAGGTTTGTATGACCTGTCACGCTGCTGAGGATGGAGATGAATTCCATTGGCTCTCTACTAATGTGATTTCCTAATTATCAGCCTGGTATGTGCAGTCCTGGTGGAGAAACAGTTGGTTTCTGACAGGTATCTAATTCCTTTTCTTCCCAATTTCTGCACGAGGCAGCTGAGCTTGAACCTTGCACATGAAGCAATTTAAGTTTAAAATTAGCTGTGATTGCCTGTTGGTGTGTGGGTGACAGTCAGTTGTGTTGTGTCTGCTCCTTGTTTGTCTCTCAGGGAAACCAAATGAAAAATTAACGTAAAAGTGATCAGAGAGACAGCTTGATAGAAGAAATGCTTTATAATAGCAGAGAATTGATCCCTTTTGTTTGGCCTAATGCATTATTTGTGATGTGATTGTGATAGTTCATACAAATGATAAGAGATTCTTCCAGCTTTCAAATAAAATATTTAAAATATCTGTGTAGGTATAGGGTTAGTGTAAGAGCTGTTCAGTATGAGCTTTATTCAGTGGAAGATACTAGTTCATGGTTTTGATTATTTATTTTAATTAACACTTTATTTCTGTATAATCCAAAGCATTCTGATGAAAAGCCTTGGTTTGTTTCTGAGTGAAATAACACTGTAAGCTAAGTGGGTCATGGCAGATAAGACACTTAAAAATGAAGCAAAGAACCTCATAAATGCCTTCCCAGTATATCTTGGTTCTAGACAACTAAGGATGTCTCTACAAAGATTTGCTAAATCAATTGAACCTGAATTTGTTTGACTGAATCTTCAGAACCTAGTGGGTTTTATTTCATGTACATTATTGTCAACCTTTGGAATTTACATTACCTCATAAATTGATGAAGCTCTGAAACACTGCAAACTATTTTATATTCTCCAGAGACCATTTAGGTGGGTTTTATTTTCTGCTTTGTGTAGGGTGTAGGTAATGATTTTATCAGACAACAGTTTTCTGAGTTTATTTTCTCTTTTTAAGATATCTTTGTAAAGGGAATTGGGAAGAGTTGGTGAATTATGTCCACCTCTTATGGGAAGTAATTGTAGTTCAATTTGCTGTAACTGTGTATTCGTGTACAAGAAATTTGGCAGAAGAGTTGCGTTAATGTAATTTTTTTTTCCTGAACAATCATGTGAAAATGAAGGCCTCTGAGTATTACATGAATACCAGACCTCACTTTGGATTATGGTACATCTTGAGATGCCTTAGAAGCAACATTTGAAAACATGTTCCAGTTGTACACATGTATTGATGCAGCCACTATTGCAAATAATTTATCAAGTAATATTGTTCTAATAACAGATTTAAAATGGGAAATAACTTCACTTACCTCAAAATTTCTTCTCTTTTCTTCTGAAAAGACAGCATTACAGGGTGTGCTCTTAACATGCACTGTTTACCTATGAGGAGGAGACTTTAAACAACCTGTGTTAAACTTTAAATTATACCAGCAATTTACTGGATCTCAAAATACTTTAATAATGTGCATACTTTGGGAGATATTAATTACATCTCTCTTTTAATCCATTTAAGATGCACTGAAAGTTTTATTACTTTCTTGTACTTTATGGTGGGGATGTAGCACATCTCAAATCTGCTGAAGATAATCTTTTATGGTATGTAGGAAGAAAAGAAGTGCACTGTGTATCCATTAGTTTCTCAAGCCAAAATGGGACTATTGTTTGTTATATTAAAGTCTCAAGGTTTTTGTAGGGATGTCACAAGCTGTACAAGTAGAATGTTATGTATTCAGGGGTTAGAAATAAAGAGGGGTTTCTGGAGTTAAATGATACTGAGGCTCACAAAAGATATGTGGTCAGTCTGAACATACTTATTACCTCTTCTGGATATATTTTGAATTAAGAGCTCCTTAAAATTACTGACCTATCCAATCTTATTTCCTGGGATAGAGTCTCACAGCAGCTTTCAGCTAGGCAGAAGAAATATAACCAAACACAGAATTTGTCACAAATTGCTGTGTAACTGCTTTCTTTAACAGTCTTCTGAACAAGTGACAGATCTCTGTGTCCAAGCAACTTCACAGACCAGAAAATAAGATTCTTCAAGTCTGATGTGCATGTTCTAATGATGTTCTATTGTTACATATTTGTAAGACCTTCAGGATTTCGGCACATTTCTTACCTCCCTGATATGTGCTCGGGAGCTTTTCTGCTTAAAAATGATTGCCAGGATGTCTTTTCTCCACAAACTATTATGCTACAACAGGATGTGCAGTTGGAGACAGAGTCTGGAGAAAGAATCTATTGGAGAAAGAGTCTGTTAAACTGTGGAGAAATGTGCTGGAGCTCTGAGGAGCACAGAAGCTGGACAGCAGCTGAATTTGTAGATTGCTACTCCTGTAGGCCAACACTCCTGTTTCCTGTCACTATTTGGAGAAAAACACAAAGAACACATCTTTAACATAAGTGACAAGAAGACCTCAGTAAAAATTAATTACTAAGGCAATAGACTGCTCGTTGGATGCCATAAGTATTTTAGAGCTGAGTTTGTTCCTAGTGTTAGTGAGTGTGAGATGGTTGAAAATAGGCTGTTTGTACTGATTGAGCTTTTTCTGATTCAGGATGAAAATGCGTCCTTTTTTCTCTTGTTTCTTTTGTCTGCCTTATTTGCCCTTCGTATATTTTGACTGACTAGGTGGCCAATATGTGGCAATATGAATTAAGTAATTGTTTGTTTCTTTTCTTGTATGCTTCACTCTACATTTCAATTAACAAATTCATGCCTTCAGGCTGCTTTCTCCTGTTACAACCTGTATAAACTAAATGTGATTCAGCAAGATGGGAAAATTCAAAATGATGCCTTAGAGTATAATTTTCCTGAACTCCTTTTATACCCGCTCTTAGTTTTATGGGGAGCCTTTTTGTTAGTAACTTGCAAATATCAACTTCATATAACTCATCAATGCCTGTCTTCAGCACTCAGAAATGTCTTCCAAAAGGGTCTTTTATGTTTTCATTTAATCTTTAGTTTGGAGAACTCCACGGTATAGAGGGAATGTCTGTATCTCATATGAATCTTCTGAAAACGTTATGTTTGGTTACGTGTGAGTAACCAAATGTGGACTAATTCCTAGTATCATTGGAGACCTTCAGTGTTTTGTGTCTGGCATATATATTAAGCTGTGTTACATTAAATAACAAAACAAGAAGAAGTCAAAAGCTTCTCTAATGAAGCCCATGGATTTCCTGCAGAAAATACAATCCCTGCAGCAAACAACCGTGATAGAATAGAGGGACTTCCTATGCACTAAACCCAGGGTCATTCTTACCAGAGACCTGTCTGTTATGTGGTGATCAAGGATGTGGCCTGCCAGTGTAGATGGTTAAGGAATAAAACTGATGCTTTACCAGCTGGGCTCTCTGTGAGACCTGGGTTTTAAACTGATTAAGCCAAGGCCTAGACTGTGCTGTGGTAGCAATCTAGCAAATGATTTTAGACATAGCAGGTCTCATTCTCTGCAACTGAGAATTGGGAAAAGATTTTGTTTGCTTAGAGCAACTGAATCTTCTGTCTCCAGGCTTCAGATCTTACCTAAAGGGAGGGCAGTGGCTTGCAGCAGCATATGGGAAAGCAGCTGCAGGGAGATGCAGGGCAAATGGCAGCCCTCCAGCAGGTGGAAGTCATTATGGAAAGAATTTTGTACTGTACAAGCTATTGTTGGTCATTCCCAGATGAGTAAAGCTAATATAACGTTTTGGCCTGCATTAAGCCACGCTCCTTTGTTTCTGCATGTCCACATTGTCTATTTGCAGAATAGATAGTTTTGGTAGAATTTTATACTGTCCTAAAACCTGTTCATAACTTGCCTGGAAGTGTTTCTT